TAATTTTGTTTACTTTTTCTTTTGCTCGGTTCATATCATTTAGTAAGGACATTTACCGTTGCGTTTCATGTTGATTTAGTCCATTAAAATGTAATTTTCTCACTCGTGTTGAACGGTTTGAAATGCGTTGTCGCGCTGCACTACCATAAACGAGTTCATTAAGCGCTTCTGTAAATGTTCTGCATTTGTACAGGCTGACCTCATCTCATCTATGCTAATTTGTGACCCATGTGCATGTAACGACGCACACGTGATTACAGTTCGTCGCCATTTCAGAGTGACCGTGTTGGGTCATGAATGCGTCGGATGATTCTCATGCGATATCTAATTAAAAATTCAATTGAGCTTATGTTGCTGTTTTTTTCCCTTCTGTATTTTGTGTATTGTTCAAAAGCCGTGTGCACTCGGGGCTCATGTTTGTGGTCAGCAGAATGATTTCCATGCAATCAATGCTGTTACAATATTTATCGACAATAAAACAATACAACAAAAGAGGGCAAACAAAGAGAACCGACCAAATACAAATGGAAATTTGGCGCACAGCTGAAAATAAGTCGAAATTCAACGTTCCCAAACAAACATTGGCTTTCGTTAAAAAATGTTAATTGTTTCTGTACAGTTTGGTTTTTTTTTTCTTTTTTCATGTGTTTGTGATTTATTTGTGAATATCCAAATTGGATGGAAAGCAAATGGAAAGAAAAAAACGATTTCGAAAAAAAGACACACACACGCCACTACCGAAAACCGAAATGCAGCTCATAAAATTGAATGCATTTTATACGTGACTTTTGTAAACGGCCCACAAACTATTTTTTCCAAGAACGTCGCCCAAATTGAGCACATAACGTTGTGATAGTGAAAGTTTATTTTTGTGTTGAACAATAGCCCGGTGTCTTTTGATCGTATAGAAATCCGTATCAGCTGGTGTCATTGGTGCCGAATCAACACAACAACCAATTGCACTAGCTTGTTTTTTTTTCCTTGTCTTTCTTTCTATTTTGTCTGCGCTTTGAAACGAATCGTTGTTTTTTTTTCTTTTTCGTCGCCTAGTCAATTTCTAGTGAAATGTTGCAATGCCAAACTTTCATATTTGCTGATTCTTTTATTTTTCATGAATTGTCACACTTATTTCAGCTCAACATGAAATCAATTAAAATCTCGCATTGACCATACCAATGACATTTCGTAATACATTATTAGCTTTGATTTCGTTTGTGTTGTGAATTAGAGCACAAGAACGCATCCAATCAAAAATCAATTTAGTCCATTTTATTAAAATTGAGCCATCGTTTTCTGCGAAAAATAAGCTAGAATCATCGACAATTCGGAACGGAAATATAAATTAAAATCATTTGACCTGTGCCATCGTAATAAACACAAGAAAAATATGTCCCGAATAATTGAATGAACTTAATAGCAATACTCACATCTACTCGAAATTATGCACGTGTGGCCAGGGATGGTGCTTGATTTCGTTACGTTTGTTAGATAAAGCCTGAACAGCCAATTGATAGAATTCAACGTTTAGAATTTGATTTGCAATAATTTGTAATGTTTTCATTTTTTTATTATTGCTTATACTTCCCAAAGTTGATAGATTTTATCTTCGATTAATCAAACTAGCTTTCAATAAGTTTTACTCATAGATGTATTTCAAAAGCAATGCTCCTTCCTCGGAGAGTTGAAAAATATTTTCATATTCTATTTCTCGAGAAAAAAAATGAGTTAAAAGAAGAAAATAATGAGTTAGGGTTGTGTCACGTTTATTCCACATGCAATATGATAAGTACTTGTTTGGCTCGAATTTCATGTGAATTCAATCATGACAAATTGATGAATAATCACTTTGAAACTTAACATTTTGAATTTAAACGGGTCCAATTGTGTGTATCAACGGATGGACATTTTTGTATGGTATTTTATAGTGACGCCTTCAACATAAACGAAACAAAGAAAGTTCGGTCATTCTTTTTCAATCTAAACAGTTTATCGTACAATTTCCGTTTCTATTATGAACAAACATTGAAATATGGTGCAGATTCTATGGCTGTACTTTGATTGAAACCAATTATTGGGTTCGAAGATGAAACAAATGTTACCATTTACATATATGACTAATGCCGCTGAAAACATAAACCATATTTGCCACTGTTACAGTCCAAATTTGTTTCTTCTGTTTAAGTTTTAAATGGAGCCATTTTGGTTTATTATTTAGCCCAACTGTTATGATTTATTTTACAAATGATATGATATGTTGATATAAGTTTACGCAAGTCAGTTACGCTAAGTGTCGAAATTCTATGATCACATTGACTTTGGTGCCATTTTTTTTTTTAAATTTATGTATACGAACACACACACGTACATGCACACATACCGCATTCGATTGAGTCACTTGAAACTTAGACTATACTGTTGAGTTTGACGTCAAATTTATGATTCAGTGACGTAAATAAACTTTGTATGACATTCTTTAATCGGAAAATTATACAATTTCGCAAACGATCACACATTAAAATATATTGTTGTACGGCTTGAGCACTCTATATACTTTTTTTGTATTGAATTAAATTTTCAACGACATTGAGATAACATATTGGAAAAACCTGAAGGCTGCATTCTTCTCTTACATTTGGCTAAATGAACTCCTAGGTTTTAAAGCAGTTTCTCCAATTTGATTGTTCAAAAATTTGATTGTAAGATAATTCGTAATGATGAGAAATCTGCATAGAGTTTTTTTTTTATTTCATAACTTCAGTTGCTCAAATCTTCGTCTTGATTACGTGTTTTTGTTGAACATTTTACCATTTTTTTTGGACATTATGCAGTCAGTGCATTCAAATTTCCCAAATTCTATTTATAGAAGACAATTTTGATAATGGAATGTGAAGTTGTGATAAACAATCAACTTATAATCTTACGTAGAAATGTACGAACTTAAACATTTTTTTTTTTAAATTCTCTCTGATTTTTTTCTGATACGATTTGGAGAAATTTCTTGAATCGAGCTTCGTATTTATGATTTTTTTATGTATATCAGACATATAAGTCTGTGAAAAAGAACGAAATTTCATTAAGTATCCTATTGTTTTCTTTTCACTATAAGCTCAAGTGGAGCAATAAATCGTAATCTAATCAAATTCAATGACGACGATTTATTATGACGACGATCATTTCTTCAAACTGCCCAAATTGTATGAAAAGAAGTTGAAAAAAAAACAAGGCGAAGGAATGCAAAAATATTTGTATAGTGAAGGAATGTTTCTTCGAAACATCTTCTTGGATAATTTTATCGGCGCTTGCTTTTTGTTTTTCTTTCCTTTTTATAACATTTCTAAATTATAGTAAAACTGCAAATTTAAACTAATTTTGTTTTCCAATTTTTCTTCATTCGTAGTATTGATAAGCGAAAGAATCGAAGAAAATGATAATCTACGAAATAAAACGCTTAAGATTACTGATTTGGGATTGGCTCGCGAGGTATACAACACAACGCGAATGTCGGCCGCAGGAACGTACGCTTGGATGCCACCAGGTTTGTGTCCGCCAATTCACCCTTGTAATATTTTATTGCTAAATATATGGTTAAAATAAATAAAATAGTTCCGCAATTAATTATCTAAAATAATTTCTTGCCTCTGTCTATCTAGAAACCATCAAATGCGGGAAATATTCCAAGTAAGTGGGGCTTTTTTCATGCCTTTTCATCCGCAGAACGGAAATTCGATTCGATCGATAAGTTCAAAATGTGTTATTTCGAAATGCCGACACAAAATTAAGCACAACCCAATTGTTGGATATTTTGTCTTCATTTATAAATATGTCTTTTTAAAATAAACCAAAAAAAAACTTGATAAATTTTTACAGAGCGTCAGATGTGTGGAGCTATGGTGTTCTATCATGGGAATTGCTCACGGGCGAAATTCCATACAAAGGTTTCGATTATTTAGCAATCGCGTATGGTGTTGCAGTCAATACACTACACCTACCGATACCAGAAACATGTCCAGAAATCTGGGGAAAATTGATGAAAAGTAAGTGTCAATTGAAACAGCTATTTTGATTTATAGTTTGGTTGCCAAGATAAAAGTCAATATGTACTATACATAAATGTGTGTCGTTTTTATGATTCTGCTAAAAAGGCTGCTGGGATAAAGACCCACACAAACGACCTTCGTTCAAAGACATTCTCCGGGAGCTGGATACCATCGCTCGATCTGGTTTTGGAGAGACGCCAAATGAATCATTCCATACGATGCAAGATGGTTGGAAGAAAGAAATCGCTGAAGTTCTCCATGAGCTGCGTATAAAAGAAAAGGTACGAACGGCACTTTCACCAAAATACTTAAACTCCATGAATAGCGGTCATTGACCCGGTTATTTTTTAACTTGATGGATAAACACAAAAGGATAAATCGTTAAAATTATTCTTCTCTTCTCTGTGTCTCTTCTTTTCTCTCTGACTTGCTTCCGTTTCAACTCTTAAACTTAAACCAAAATATCATGATAAAATGCTTAATAAATAGGCTTTCAAGTCATTTGAAGAGGTATGTAAAAGGAATCGATATGTTCGTCATTTGTTCCTTTTGATGCTTTCCACCACAAATATTATGAGTTCATTTTGCGTATTGTTTCAACGTGTTCGTTTATTATTCCTTTTGTTCAATTTTTCATTGCGCAAATACAATTGATTTGTTATTGTTTTCCCATTACACTTTTATGTTTATACCGTAATCTAGGGGTTAATAAACCAAAAAAATAATTAACAATTACTACCGATTTTTATATTTGGGTAAAATTTTGTCAATATAAAACGTTTGCGTTCAATAATGAACAATATATTTTCAATACGACAAACACACAGCAGAACTGCAATACCGATTGGTGTTGACACATAGAGATTAACGGAACAACAATTGAACCGGTTGCGACAAAAAAATTCCCACAGAATATTTGAGAATTGAATCGAAGCATGGCATTTGTCTACGAACAAAGAGCAACAACGTAAGTTTTTGAACCAAAGCGACACAAAGCAATTGTGACAAACAAAGTGCAACATAAAAATTCATGTTGCAGTTTAAAGCCGAAACTTACTTTGTGGCACTTTG